TTGCGATTAGTATAGTACACTATACTTTGCTTCTACACTATATAGTGCTACAGTATAGTGCAGTATAGGACCACAGATAAGTATATGAAATTTTAGCGGTTTGCCGTCAGAATTACATTGATTTGGAAATTCTTGCAAAAATCAAATAATTGTCGGATTTTAAATCTCAGAACATATTCACAAATGAATGAAAAATATTTTAGAAATTTTGTTTTTAGAAAATCTTGGTAAAAAGATTCTGATCACATTGATCAAATTAAGCAACGTCTAGCCTAGTCAGTACCTAAATGGGTGACCGCTTGGCAATACCATGTGATGTAAGCTTGACTGTGCAGGTGGTGCGATAGATAATGGCTCTTTGATTAACAACTCCAAGCTGAGTTCTAGTTCCTGTTATATTCACTTACTTGCAATTACCATTAGGAAAGGTATGCATCTACCTCTTCAGCCCCAGCTATGGGTTAATTAGTAAGACTTGTATCTCTAAATCATTAGTATTAAAAAACAGAATTCTTACAATCTAAAATATTTTCTGGCTTTAAATCACCTGCAAAAGGTTGATAATCCGTAAAAAAAAAAAAAAAAATCAATCAATGCTAAATCTGAATGCCAATTGCTGAGATTTGTTCATTAAACAAATCGTATGTGATTTGTGGTTAGAGGTATATAAAACCCAAGAGGCACTTCGACGTGCTGTAATGGTTAGCAAACTCGTTTCGCTAGAGCAATTACTACTGAGTAGTGAGTTCGATTCTCAATAGGTGCTTCATAATTGCGGCCTTGTATCACATCTGAGTTAAACTACTGCTATGTGATTGAAGATTGTCATTGTTGGACCGATTGAGAGAGTAGTACTATGTTTACGACCGTTTTCTCAATAAATATAGCAGCTAGCTGAATTATTAAACCATTTTCATATCTCGAGATGTTAGTCTGATTGGGTTGCTTTTAATTATTTAAATTTTATATGTCAATTACTCTCCATTAACCACCATAGAGATCCTTCCCTGCCCCCCATTAAAATGTCTGATAGTCAACTTCCTGAGAGCAACTCCCTGCGTCTGCTCGGTCTCACGCTGACTGCTGACCTGAGATGGAACAAATACATTGAGTCAATTGCTTCTTCCACCGCGAGGAAAGTTGGCTCTCTGTGCCGCGCCAGGAAATTTTCTCCCTGAATCGATACTTCAAATATACAAAACAACCATTCGCCCTTGCATGGAGTATTGCTGCCATATATGGGCTGGAGCACCTTCTGCTTACCTCAGAGTTCTTGACAAGATCCAGAGAAGGATATGTAATCTAATTGGCCCTGATCTAGCGTCTTGTTTGCAGTCACTCTCTCACAGACGTGCCGTCGTCTCTCTCTGTCTTTTCTACAAATACTTCCATGGTAACTGCTCTGATGAGCTGCTCTCTCTGGTTCCCAGACTCCATGAATTCAAGCGCCCTACGAGGGCTGGCATCCCGCTCTCACCCTTACACCGTAGAAACCTTCAAATGTAGCCGTCTCTTCTACTCCAATAGCTTCATACCTCGCACCTCTCGCCAGTGGAACACACTCCCCAATCACTGTTTCCTGAAAGCTATAATCTCCAACTATTTAAATGTAATGTCAATCGACATCTCCAATTACCTTGATCTACCCACTATCCTTCTCCTCTTCCTTTCTCCTATCACTCTTAGCTGCTCTCGCTCCAAATCTTCCGCAACCCCCTGCATCCTAGTGGCTTCACGCCTTGCTTGGGGCACAATGCTTAAAAAAAAAAACAGAAAAAAAAAAAAAAGAAAAAAATGTTCTTCGAAATAAATATCAAATATTTCGTCTCAAAAAGTAAAAAAAATAAAATAAAATAAAATAAAATAAAACAGGCCAATCTTGATAAAGAAAGAATGTTAAAAAAATAAAAAAAATAAAAAAACACGAAAAAAATAATTTTAAAAATTTATTTCGGTACCAAATAAATGTACATTCGATATAAATTTCCTTAAGAAAATATCAAAATATGAAATATAAAAGCTTTTGTTACATCGTATTTTCATTTCGTGTGCATAAATAAACAATAATTTGTTTTACGTGTGTTTAAGTGTTTATATACAGAAAAGAAATCTGGTGATTTAAATTATAGCTTGTAGAAAATCTGAAAAAAATAAATGAAAAAATGTTTTATTCTTCCTTGAATTCGTTAGATTAAAGCATGATAAAATTTTAAAGAGTGGCTAGCAATGGTGAAATCCCCCCCTCCCGGTACTAAGATATTTGACGTCTGAAAAATGTAAGATCTCACAGGTATTTAAATATTTTTATTTAAAAAAAAAAAAAAAAAAAAAAAACTTTCGGAAAAGTATAAAGATGACTACAGAATTAAATCTGCATTTCGTAACTCTTTTAAGTAAATATTCTTTTCATCAGCTTTTTTTTTTTTCGACGAATGTCAAAGTTAGAAGTCCCTTGATTTTTACATTATTCAATTGTTTTCAGCAAAATTCAGTTAATTTCTAAGTGTATCAAACAGATAAATGGGTCTATTTTACAGTGTTATTAAGAGATATTCGAGTTATTGAAAATTTGTCAATTTAATTCTTATTTAGTTCATTTTTAAATAAGGGTTAATTGTAAATTGAAGAATTAAACGAATTAATTAAAGATTTAAAATTTTAAAAATAAAGAATTTAAATTTTCAAGTTTGGATGTCTTAACTAATAATATTTCAGAAACATTATCGCAGACTTACGTACCTCAAATTCTTCAACACCAACAGCAAAAAATGAAATCCTATTGCTTTATATTTATATATATTGACTTATATACATTTATATTTCAGATTGGCTTCAGAGACGCTTCTATTCGAAGATGCTTAAATATTATTTTCAGTGGATACCCATATTTAAATAGACGCTCCGTTTTTATTTCTAAACAGTATATTTATACCTGCCCGGATATTCGAGATATCTTATTAAGGAAAAAATATGCGCCCCCGCCCCGACACTTAATAAGTGATAATGATTATATATATATATATATAAAATTTGGGATGAGAATAACCTTAATTTTTATTCCTTACTTAATCAAATCGTTTTTTTAAGTAAAATCCTTTGTTCTTTTTTTGTTGTTCTGGAGAAAACGAATTGTTTTTAAGTTCACATATAAAAATGATAATGCGACTGTATGGGGGTATGTGCTATACTGAAGTTATTGTCGGTTGAGTTTGTAGAATTAGTGGATAATAGTGATTTAGAAATTTTTGGTAGGAGATAATCTAAGATAAAATATGGCTACCATTTTCATCTTACTTTCATTTTCAACATATCGAAGTGTCATTGTTAGAAAGGTCAATTCACATCGTTAATACTCGGTTTAAATTAATGTTCCTTCTATTCTGGAGATATTTAGGTCAAGTTAATTTTAGTTAATTGATATTTCTTTGATTGAATCAAAGTTTTTACCAAATCGTTTTCATGTTCGTATCATATATAATCTTCGCTTTGGTATTAATCATGTTGGAACTTAGATAAATAATCTTGATAATGTTTCAAAATAGTCGACGTTATAATATAATAATTCCTATTTTTAATACTAATTAGATTTAGTTAACATGAATTTTAAGAACATTATTTTTCAATAATATATATGAAAATTCAAACCGTGTTCGGTTATCTAATTAATCAATAAAATTAATCATGTATTCATGCACATTAAAATACGTATAAAACGACCTAATATAAATGTGCTAAAAACAAACGAGAAGTGTTTCTTTTTTTATTTGATATTACAAAAATGAATTTTTCGTTCAAGGCTTACTGAAAACAGTAGAAATTATAAGTGACAAATCTATGATAGCTGTTTCCATAATTCTTTAGCCAATTAAATCATTCTATCAAATTTGAAAGATCGCTATTACAGTATTCTTATTGACGACAAAAATAATTTAAACACTTTTCTATTTGGCAAAGCATACAACTATTTATTCTATCTTGTTTAATGAGAAAATATATTTTTCAAATTAGCTATCGTCGATTGGCAGTATTCAAATACCCACAGAAAATCCAACAACGTTGATAAGAAACTCGAATTTTCAAACAGTGCTGTGAAAATGATTAAATATATGTATATATACAAGTCTCGTTAAATAACAGTTAAAATAGTGTTGTCTTGTTCCCCCTCCTTATCTGCTTTCTAACGCTTATTTAACGTTTAAGCTCTAAAAAAAAAAAAAAAAAAAAAAAAGAAAATCACAATAAAAAATAGTTACTCATTTTATACATTTTCACTTTCCAAATTTTAACCAAACATAGAACTGTAAATAATGTTTTAGTTGCTTCCAATTTCGTTTATAGCCTACATTTAATTTTCTATGGACTGGTATGACAGATTAATACCAATATGACATATATGTATATCTATAAAGTCTCTAAAATTCAAAATAAGATCTTACGTTAAGCAATCACTTCTTTGCAAAAGAATCTTAAACCGTATTTTATATTGATATACATACGTATCCATTAGACGCACTTCTGTCTGAATACAGGCATATATTTATGCGTATCCATGCGAATGTCTTTATAGACGCATACATCTATAAATGCAAGCATAGTTAGGATTGTGTGTGTATATATACGTATGCATGAGAGATGTTTGATTTCAGTGTATATCCAATAAAAATAAACTTTATGAGTTCCTAGTCTTTCAGTTTAGGCAGTACAATACAGTCCTCGAATTAATCAGCCCTGGTGGAAACTTGTTTTTTTTTTTTTTTTGTTTTTATGACGTTGTAAAACGCACCACCATTATTAATTAGTTATTCTATTGATTGTTCTTTCAACCATACATTTCATACCGCTACAATTAACCATTGATGCGTATCACAAGTTCGTTGGATGACGACAATCGTTATAATGAGTGTGCAATCACAGCGAATGTCACTTGATAAAAAAAAAAAGATCGATTTACGTTCCCAACGTATCGCTTTATAAGTTAATTATCACCATCTTGATAGCTTTCAGTCGTTTATGAGTTCAAAAGAATCTCGTTTCGATTTCGATGCGAGTTTGCTCTCCTCAGATGGTTCCGGTACGATTCTTCGGTAAAGAGTGTATAATGCTTTCCTCACGTCACTGTCGACGAACCAGAGCACTGGTATGATCCCAGCGCTTGAGACGGCTAAATAGGCAAAGACGTCCAACGCAATCCAAAAACGCTCGTCGTGTTGTCGGTAACCGTTGTCCATTATATGCTGGTGGAAGCATTTCAAAACAAACATGGTAGCCGCGAACATAAGATTAACTACAATCCCGGCCGTCAAAGAGCTACGTATGGATCGTCGGTCAACGCTGGTCAGCAGACGATAAGATTGCAGCCCTCGAGACTTTAACAGAAAATAAATAACGATGAATGTACTGGCCACTGTAAATAGGCAGATGATGAAGGTGAATAAATGAAATGCACGGTTTGCCGGTGGTATCAGTGCTGAACTACAAACAGGGTTTGGCGCAGGCAATGAGATTTCCGTCACGGCATCTGGATATCCGTTTGTTATCGTCGTGACCGGCAGTAAGGCGAGAGATGGCGTCGTGCTGTTGGATGCAAAGCCGACAAAGTATATTGGCAAGGTGACCAGGATTGTGCTGACCCAGGGAAAAGCAAGTAGGATGCCACAGCCGACCGAGTTGACCCGCTGAAGATAACGATAGGGACTTATTGCCTGGAGAACTCGATCAACACTCACTACGAACATGTGAAACTGAAAATAGAAAAAAAAAAAAAAAAGATCAATTTTTTTAAAGAAAAAAATAGTGCGTTTTGGAGGTTTCATTTTTGTATCATACGAGAAAGTGCTGAGAGGTTCTCAGCTCTTATTGACCGAAATTGCCAGATATTTAGCCATTTTGGAGATCGGTAAATAAACTTTTTAGTACTCCCTCGAATTTAAAAAAAATAAAAAGGTAAGAATAAATATGAAAATTGAAAATGAAGTGAAAAATAAAACAAAATAAAAAAAGCAACAAAAAAAGCAGAATGAAAGGGAAACAAAAATAAAAAAAAAACAAATTGAATAAAAACAGCAAATGAAATATCAGACATATTTAATGAAAGAGAACGTTAATCCATTAAAATCAAAACGTCAAATAAAATCGGCAAGAGAAATTCAGAATGATAGAAAATACTGATAACAACTGGGAACAGATGAAATAACAATAAATGTTTTTAATTCTTTACTTGGATTGATTACAGGATTGATATTTACGAATCAGAACTTAAAACCGTACAAGTCCAAATAAGGCAATCGGCAGAAATATCATAGCACATATTATGTAGAAAATAACTACGTGGTTAAGGGATTGCAACGCCGTTCGCCCAATTTCATGAAAATGCTAACAGCATCTTTAAAGTTAAACTTATTTATACTTATAGCGGCTAGAAAAAAGGGGAGGCAGAAGGCGTGAACTGCGAATTGAAGGCGTCAAAATCAAGCAGAAATTTTATGACAGTGTTGTAACAGAGGAATGAAATTAAATTCGAAGGGATAAGTACACGTCCTTCTTTATTTGTATTACTCTGTTTGATATCATTCTAATCGTGAATATCTCATTTCTTGTTCCAATGGCCTAATTTTGCTTTTCGCTCTATTCATCATGATTCGCATCATTATTTATGTAGCCCATTAAACTGATTGTCTGATGGAGCTCCTGGTTTCTTAGGTAATCTTACGAAGATGTATTTATTGAAGTCCTCGGCTATGGAGAAATCAAGAAAAAATATGTAAGGGGTTATAAATAGCTGTCAAGTACGAAATTAGTTTGCAAAATTTCATTCTGGAAAAACGATGTCGGAAATTAAACCCAGACCAAGGCGTTCAGCGGACGCTTATCATTGAGAGAAAGCATTTCACGGGTAAGTATTCGGAAATAAACAAAGATATTAAACACATATGTCATATATGGATAAATAGAAAGGACAGGTGAATCATGGTGAATATTTAAATGAGTAAAATGTAATTAGTTTTTGAAGAATAACGTTGATCAACAAAAACGGGGGAATTGTTTATAACTCAACGTAATAATATCCCGCGTGAATTATTCATAACTCGACGTAATAATTTCCCGCGTGAATTATTCATAACTCGACGTAATAATTTCCCGCGTGAATTATTCATAACTCGACGTAATAATTTCCCGCGTGAATTATTCATAACTCGACGTAATAATTTCCCGCGTGAATTATTCATAACTCGACGTAATAATTTCCCGCGTGAATTATTCATAACTCGACGTAATAATTTCCCGCGTGAATTATTCATAACTCGACGTAATAATTTCCCGCGTGAATTATTCATAACTCGACGTAATAATTTCCCGCGTGAATTATTCATAACTCGACGTAATAATTTCCCGCGTGAATTATTCATAACTCGACGTAATAATTTCCCGCGTGAATTATTCATAACTCGACGTAATAATTTCCCGCGTAAATTATTCAAACTCGACGTAATAATTTCCCGCGTCAAATCCGCAACCACTTCGGATACAAATTTGCAGATGTGATTAAATGCGAACAACAATACAAAGTAGCAATGCAGATGTTTTGATAAGTCAATCAATTTGAAACCCAGAATAGCAACTTTATTCTAAAACACGAATAGAACTATGCTCTAATATTAAGGTAAAAACAGGTTACCCAATCCAAACCAGATGACTATACACCCTACTTATCAACAGGTAACTTGGTTGTCTGAAGTTCGGAGATTAATAGTCTTTATTATTACTTATTTAACTCGTGTAATAGTGTAGACGCTACATTCGCTTAATGCAGGTATGCGCTTCACACACGACTAAAAGAATATCGATAATTGTGCGTTTTTTACGGGCCGACACGTCCCCATGAGTGGACAAGATATGTTTTGATATTGAGTCACCATCTCTAGTCTGATTACCAACCAAGGCTAGAAAGCCTTGTCAGTCCTGTTATTTAACCCATATCTAAGATATCGATACATATTTTTCCCAGAGGTATTTGCGTGAAAGTTAACGGAATTCGCCGATTTCATTTTCCGAGAGAGTAGTCGTTAAAATACTCCCACGTCCCCGATATGAACTTCAAGTTGCCTCGCATCTCCATTGTGCCATATATTCCTTGAATATCATTTATTACTTTGTACTGATCAACATGCTCATTGGTTGATTCTAAGGCACGTCAACGCTTCTGCCACAATTACTGTGAAAAAATCAGTAATAAATCGTAGACATGTCTTCTTCAGTTATTTAATGTCGAATTTTGTAAGGTGCCACGCAATGAGGACGAAATTCACTCTTCTCGCTCTGAGCATCTTTTGGAACACAAGTTAATCCCCAGACCTGAAGTTGGATTCATATATACGATCCATAGCAAAAGACGCTGGAAAAAGGGTCAGCTCCTTATACCGACCCAGTCTATCCTTACAAGATTCAGATCAGACCGAAAATTAACTATTGCTGCCATATCTGGGCTGGAGTTGCCCAACCCTTGTCTTTCTATACTTGAATTCAAAATCTCTTACACGGGCTTGTAGACGATGAATTAAATATAATTCTACAAAGCTACTCACACAGACACAACGTCCCAAGCCCCGTGCTACTCTATCGCTATTTCCATGGCAAATATTCTACCGAGATATATTCCCAATTTCCACTTGTTCAGACTAGCTAGGATCACTTTCGTATTTTATTGGTAAGAAGGAAGTTCCAATCTGATAGCTTCTTTCCAAGAATCGCTACTTTATGGAATAAACTCTCGAGATATATTAATTCTGCACTTACTTCCCCCTCCTATATCTATACAACAACCTCATTTAGCATCCCTTTACCTCTTGACTCTTGTGTCTTGCTTTGGTTGAAAATTTAGTAAGAAAACTAGGAATTCAGATTATCTTGCGTAAACATTAACCTACACAGAGGAGCCTCTCATCAATTGGAATAGAGGTCATATATTTTAGTGTCATTTTGAGCCCATAGCTGTGCCGCTCCATTCTAAAGAACAGATGTAAGCATGTAATTTCAAGCTAATATTTAAATTCGTCAGATTAGAGAGCAAAGTCTTCTTCCCTGCTTTGTGGTCGATTTGAATTGACAATAACTGTTACACCATAATATCTGCGATCTTATTGGCTCTTTTAGACGAAACATTGAAACTTAATTTTGGGATATAATTTGTTTAGAATATTATCCATGAAATAAGCTAAGCTCCTTTTTTTCCCCAGAATAAAAAAATTATCCATGAAATAAATTATCCATGAAATAAGCTAAGCTCCTTTTTTCCCCAGAATAAAAAAAAACGGTAATGATACTAATAATATTCAGTAATTGACCGAAACCGTCATTTTTGTGATGTATGTCCAAGCCGACTAAACAATGCATAAACATGAAAACTGTATTGCACCCAGTGAAAGTGCCAATTTGAGCTTCGTCCAGTGTTGATCTTATCTTCATTTACTGTTTATCGAAATATTCATGAATGTGAATATTTAATTATATTACAAACTATCAACAATCGATTTTACCCTTCGTTTGCAAAGACTCAAAAATCCATGGCCACAAACTAGCCTTATCTTTGAACTACAAAATTTGTTCACGTTATCGCTTCGTTCTACCTTCCCGCCATCTATTCATGTATTCTCTCAATGACATTCACTGCTGGAAACGAGCGTCAAATAAGACAGACGATGGGTTTCTTATCAGCAACCATTTTATGCATTTAATCACAACTCATGCCGACTAAATTGAAATTCTGCTTTTAAAGGGTGATATTACGAGACTAATCATTTTTTTTAAATTCTTAGTCCATAAATTGAAATATATTGTTTAACTTTGATTATTATCGGCTCGTTTGTTACTTTTGTACTGGCTAGTATTGTTTGCGTGGTAAATTGCTAATGGGCACCAAACAATCGCGATTGAATCAGACGATATTGGCAGCCATTTTGGCTAAACTGACAGTTGACTTCGCTATCAGTTCATCGTGAAAATGGGGACAGCACGTGTGTTGAATGACGAGAAGAAAAAAGAAAAGTAAGGTTTTAAAAAAAAAAAGTAGAAAGAACGCTGATAAAAATCATATTGGATGTGAAGCAGTACCAATTTAACAATAATGTGAATAGTGGACATTTTTGTTAGCCGCGATACGGTGTTACCTGTTTGACTGATTGATCTCTCATTGTTGCGGCTGTTCCTTTTAAGGCAAAGTTATTAGGCTTGACATTAAAGAAAAAAGAACAGCAAATATACAGTAAAGACGGGTAATGGACTGTAGAGGCACACAAGCATGTGAATAAGAAAGAGTATGTGGTCAACATATTCAGTGTCAATAGAGATTAGATATGTGAAGTAAGAGGAGAAAAGAAAAGGACATTTTTGCACATACACATAAGAGGAAGCGGGCAACATATTCAAAGGATTGATTGATTGGTTGATTTTCTACGGCTTATCAACCATTTGAAGGTTATTTAAAGGCAGAATATTTTTAGTTTGTAATAATTTTTTTTTTAGATAATAATGATTTGTTGATACAAGTTTTACTAATTAACTCATAGCTAGGGGCAGAAGTGGTGGATTCATACCTTTTTCAAGGGTATTTGCTTAAGTGAATATAACGAACCTGACTGGAGTTGAAAAACGGCTTTCCGGTTATCAATTCCGAGCCATGACATCACCCGCACATCCAAGCTTACAGCAAATGTTATAGCAACTTACCAAGGTACTGAACAGGCTG